CAAATACAGCTTTTGGTAACTTTTAAAAGGTTTAAACAAAATAACAATAGTTAAAGAAAAGTAATAATACAAGATAGAATAAGACATGATTATTGCCGATCCCAACTGTCACAAAAAGGAAGTGTTCAGAGCAGATCGGAAATTCGAATGGTTTTTCTTACAGCATTATTGAATCCTTCCTTAAAATGGAACCAAATGTCACCTTTCAGTTCTGCTTCACTCCTAGCTGTGAGAGACAAATATGATTAGAATGTTAGTGCAGTTTGAAGTTAAGACCTCTACACCCAAGAAAGAAAAAAATGAATGATTTAATTTACCTTTAACCGTACTAGGAGTTAATGGTATTTCCACTATTCTTCCAAAAAAGTCTTTTGTTTGCTGAAAGATAATTAAACATTGTAAGTAAGAGTACCAGAAAAGACCCCAAAACATTTAGCAAGGGCAGAAGAAAATTAATTTACCATATCTTTTATCACTGGTTTGGCTTTTAATTTTTGAAGATGATTAGGAACTGTAGGAGACACTTTTTCTGATGTATTATCTAGATTGGGGACAAATTGACAGATTAATGAAACCTTTCTAAGGACAGTGGGTGTTTCCAGAAGGTGACGAATGAGGATAATGTACCTGAGTCACTATTATTGGGTACTTGTGTTTTATCCTGGGCTTTGCCAGGAGCAAGGGTTTCATTTTTTTGTCCACTGACTGAAAGCAATTCAAATCTTCTCATTTTTTCCATATCTATTTCTCTTGCTACCAACTGCTTGGTACCATAAGTTAACTGCCTTGAGGGCTTACTACCACCAAAGTAAACAACTTCTTCAATGTTCCTAGGGAAAGACAAGTTGTTGTCAAGTCAACTCAATTACTAAATAAGCCACACACAGAAAATTAACTTACGGGTCCATATTGCAGACATATGTTCCTTCAGGAGTGCGCTCCTGAACATAAGTCAGATTGTAATCAATCATGACACTTATCAAATTTGACAATTCTTTCTTTTCATGTAAACTGTACAGTTGTAAACTGACCTGTATATAATGGTATGGTACAGGGAAAGTTAAAATACATAGACAGACATACAGACAGGAAAATGCACTATTAACTTGACAGAACTTACTGGACGGAAATTTGGCACAAGTATCTCCAGAAGAAGTGGGAGAATTTCACTGACTAATTGAGATTCATTACAGTTCACTCTGACTGATGGAGACATACCTTTCACCATTTCCGCCAAAATTTGTTTTGTATGTCCCTGTTTAACTGAGACCTTCAAAAAAAGTATGTACTGTTAGGACTGAGCAGAGCAAACAAAACAGGTAATCAATGAATTGACAACAGTTTTATCTTACCTCATAAGCTGTGTTTGGGTAATTAATTTTAGGCCACGCCAAGCCACCAAATAAAATATGCCAAACAGGAAAAGCATAAGCCATGTATGGCATTAGGATGTAGTTTTGAGAGGTCATTATTTCAGTATTAATCAAATCCGTGGTTGAGAACCAATCCAAGCCTTTGACAAGCTAAAAAATGAAAGAATGCTAAGTATTTTATTTACAATATACTCAACTTAACAGGGCGAGATTCAAGCATGTTAAATTCTCACTTACGCCATTTAATGAGGAATCTCTCAGCCTCATATGGAGATAATTTTCAAAGACTCCTTGGATAAGACGATTATAATCCCCATGGCTTTGAACTGTTCTTAAAACTCTTTGAATTCTAGAATAGAGAGAGAACAGAATAATGGGTAGGAGGAATGAAGTGAATTAACTACCTACTTGCCACGATGTGGAGAGACCAAAATTAGAGCAGTACCTGTAAGCAATTGCAGAGTCACCCTTTTTCACATCAGGTGTTCTGTTGTCAACATTAGAAGTTCTTGAAGCATCATTTGCTGCCTGTGTGAAACCACTGGGGAAAAACAATTCATTATGTATATTATGTGAAAAAAAAATTTCTATTCTATTCTATCAGGAATTCTTACCCTTTACTTCTTTGAATTTGAAATATTTCTTGCCAGACTGAAAACAACCCTTTCTGTACATCTTTGAGCCCAACATTTGACTGATGAACATCACTTAAACGAACAGGTTTACTCTGAGATTTAAAATAATGCAGCAAAGAAAGACAAGAGCGAATGTCATTTTGAGTCTTTTCACAAAGTGCCAGCATAGCTCCCATATCTGTTTTTATACGCTGTTTCCGGGCAATAGTCATGAGTCTTGAGGCTAATCTGCAAAAATGTAGATAGACAACACAAAGTGCATTGTATATAATCTGCAATGATGAAACATTGACTATATTTTTAAAATATTAAGAGGAAGAACAAACCTTTCTGAGCCAGTAGGTGGGAAATGAAGAACAAATGCATGCTGACGTAGAGAGCGTAATGCAGGAACATAAGCATCATTACAAATACAGATCACAGGACGTTTCAAAATTCCTGCAGCAGATCCCTTCTTTTTACCCCGACCCTTGCCAACATCTTTGCCCAGAACAAACTTGATCAGTGTTTCAATGGATGGCTAAAACCATAACAGAAAGACGAGTATTAGATGAAATAAGGTACATATTTATATTATATACAAAATAAAGAAAAGATCACAAATTAATTAAAGTGCTTCACTTATTTGCAGTTTGTATAATACTGACAGCAGGAGCACCATCAATTTCATCCATAACCAGACAGTTTGGCTTGGGGTCTTTTCCCATAACTGCTTTCATTTGTGTAGCAGCTTGAAGTTGGGTATAGAATGCTTCTGGGCTGCGATCATCACTTGCATTCACTTCCACAACATTGTAGCCTGAAATATGTTGTATTACAAATTTATATGCTGTAGCATTACTTTCAAAAACCAGTAATTAGAGTTACTAAGGAAATGAAACCAGAGTCTACCTGCAAGTTTTGCCACCATATGAGCCAGAGTCGTTTTTCCAAGACCAGGTGGTCCACAGAGTAAAACCATCTTGTATTGGGGCCTTCCTTGCTCATCTAATTCATCAGTCATAACTTGTCCAAAAGGCTTTTTCTGAAAACGATTTTCTGAAATCCAAAAATTATTATTGAGTTTAAGTCACACAGTCTTTTTAAAGGGCACATTGTGGCTAAGTATACTTACCTTTTTTATCCTCTTTGGGTTTTATCTGAGGCTTCCGCTCTCTGTTGAATACCACTTTATCCCATAGCTTCAGCCAATGTAGTAAGGTTCTGTTGACACTCTGTTTGGTAACATAGCATGTCAGAGAAATATTTCTTTTAAAAAGGCAAGAATAATACCACATGAATGAGTCCTACCTCTTCACTCAATAACTCAGCATATCCAGATGGTTTATACTTAACAACCCATAAGTTGTCAGTATCAACTTGGGTGTTTCTAGATCCATCTTCACTAGGAATTAAAGCAGCAATATCTGCCGCATTAGCTTCTATCTCTAATTGTTGTTTTTTCTCAAGCTGGAAAGTTAGGTCTTTGTTTACACTTCTGACATTTTTACAGCGTTGTATTGAACACCTAAATTACCAACCAATAGGATTGAAATATAATGATGAGGGTACTCACAATACTTAATGCTTCATTTTTAAGGGCTGAAAAGCGACCTCTAAGTAGACCACAAGAATCTCCTTTGTGAGAAACTTTTTCAACCTGGATTAATAATTTTGAAATTAATTTATAGACACTTCAATAAATTTCTTCTGATAAATGAAAATTTAGCAAGTTTATCATACCTCTTCTTCTATGTACTCATCACTCCTGATTCGGACATACACACGCTCTCCAAGCTCACTTGTTACAGAAACAAAAGGCCACTTGGGTACTCCTTTGGTCAATGTGTTACTTTCTTTTAACCTGAGGTCATGAGAGGACAAAACATAAAAGCTACGAGTCACACTTGAAGAAAAATAGGAAGAAGAGGCTAAATAATGCACTTACTTTAAATTTGCTGGTGATGCAGCACTCCGGCCTTCATTAAATTCCAGAAAGGCTTTCCTGCGCAATGCGTTGATCCGGTCTATTAATTCTAGTTCTTTATCTTGAGCAGAATCAAAACCTAAGTCTTCATCTAAGAAAAATGACGGATCCACAGACAGCTGTTTACAAGACCGCTTTAATGGCTGACCTGCAAGCACATAGTTTTGTCAGACAAACTCCAAGTTTTCAAGCATGTCGCCCCTCCCATCTATAAAATATGTAAAGTAGAAAGAACATTATTACGCAATACCGTGTTTTTCAGAGGCTTCTTCTAGCTCTATATCATCAATATCACCAAATATATCATCAATGGTTCGCTTCCGAGATGAGGATGAATTATCTGGGGCTGTTGATGATATTGGCTGCACAGAGGAAAAATGAAATTGATGTAAGTGTAGCAAATTCAGTTGGTTTAATTTCACATAAGCATGTAATTTAATGAACAATTATTTACCAAATCATCTAGATTATTTTGAGTAGACGCCAATACAGAAGCACTCTTACTGTTACCCTTATCTTCTGAAGTAGGAGATCCACAGAAGTTCAGACTTCGACGTACAGTTGGGGGAGCAGGCTTCTGAACAAGTGTACGATCATCAAGATCTAGAAAATAATTTCATGATTATCAAATAAGCGTCAAATAAACTTACAAATAATAGTAGTAGTATGACCCTTCAAAAAACATACCATCATCCATTTCATTCATCATTTCTAATTCATCCGCATACATCATCTCAAACTCCTCATCGGGATTCGGAAAGTAATCGTCCTCCTCCATGGTGATAATACAATGGACAACGTACAATACCCACTACAATCTATGACTAAAACAAACAAAACTTTTCTTCTACAGAAAACCTAACCCACACTTATTGATGTAAACACCCAAGAAAACACAAAACCCAATGATTTCGCGCCTTTAACAGATGACAACTGTCCGGTTTGAAAATCAGTTGGAGTTAAATTTAAGAAACAGGGAGTTGACCAAAAAAAATTATAGCTTCACAAAATCTCATAATTTTAAGTTGAAAGTCCATCTGGTTTAGAAACTAGTAAGAAGAAAAGTTAAGAGAGCAGCGTAAAAAAGGTAGTTTGAGGTTGCCGTACATGTCCACCGGCTCCATTTTTTGTAGTGCAAATAATCACTTCGTCTTGTTCGTAGTTTGTTTTCTATTTTCAACAGAGTAAAAGTCAATCAATCTACTTAAAGCTGGTTTTTGAGAATATTTTTCCAATCATCATGGGTTTTCTAGTGGATACTTTTATTATCCTAATTACACAGGTATTATTTTCTATTGTCATATCTTTTTTTACGTTCATTTATGCTGTAGTTATTGACATAACCTGAAAAACACTTGTCAATGCCGACCGACCAATTGCACTTGATGATTTGATTGGATACCTATACAGCCCGACCATAGTTATTAGAGCTATATCGTCACCTTAATTACGAAGTTTGTTTCTCATCATGACAGACTAGTAACAGACTCCTTCTACTTAGGGACGTTTTCAGATCACACCTAACAAGTGGTTTACCTCTTCGTTAACATTACAGATTATATTTTTTGCTGGTGGATGGGTTTTCTTTGTGAAACAACTTTTTCGAGATTATGAAGTCCACCATACCCTTGTTCAGCTCATCTTCTCTGCCACATTTTCTCTGTCATGTACGATGTTTGAACTGATCATTTTTGAAATAGTGGGTGTGTTAGACACAAGGTAACGGAACTTGATTTCCTCTGTGTCTTTATTAAAAATACATCAAACCATAATTTTAAAGAAACTTTTGCTTCCTACAGCTCAAGATATTTTCATTGGAATCTAGGTCTTTATCTCATTTTATTTATGGTAATAGTTATCATTCCATTCAACATAGGATATTTTATTTTGTCAAACATCAGATTTAGTAAGTACTGAACTCATTGTTACATGATAATTTTCTTATTTGTAGTTTTATCTTACTTGACAACTTATTCGCGTTACATTACTCTCTATTCCAGTCAGAAAGCAGCTTATAAGGCCACTTACTGTTCTTATTTGGCTGCTATACATTTATCTATTCTGGAAAGTTGGTGATCCTTTTCCAATTTTAAGCCCCAAGCAAGGTATATTTTCTATTGAACAAGGGATATCTAGAATTGGAGTCATCGGAGTTACTGTTATGGCCCTCTTGTCTGGATTTGGTGCTGTTAATTATCCATATACTTCCATGGCATATTTTATGAGGTGGGACAGAAACTTTTGTAGCCTTTGCTTGAAAAAAAAAAAAAAAAAAAAAAAAAAGACCCCAATGTTTTCTAAAAAAAAATTTTTTCTATTTTCCACAGGCAAGTTTCTCCTGGAGATATTCAAGCCATAGAGAAACGCTTGATGCAAACAATGGATCTGATTGTTGTAAAGAAAAAGCGAATTGCTTTGGCAAAAAAAGGTGTCACAATGCATGGCTCTCAGTCTGGCCCAACATCCCCTTCTCTTTGGAGTAGTATGTTAAGAACAGTTACCAGTAAAGAATCTCCTGAAAGTATCCTTCATTTTCAAAGCACTCTAGGTTTTAGCATTTTTGGGTACTGTTTGTTTCTTGTTATCAACTTAAATGTGATGAGTGTAGTTTTCCTATTCACACAACAGCTGATGTGAAGCAATTGAAGCAAGATGTTGGAGCCCTAGAAGAGCTTTCCCGGCAACTGTTTCTTGAAGCACATGATCTTCACAACATGCAAGAACGGCTGGAATGGGCTACAACCTGGAAAGGAAAGTACTTTAATTTCCTGGGTTATTTCTTTTCCCTTTACTGTTTGTGGAAAATTTTCATTGTAAGTAAAGTTAAGCACAAGTAACTGAATCATGATAATAAAGTACTGCAGCCACAGTACTACCGTTTAGTAATATCTACCGATTGTTCTTTTTCAGTCCACAATAAATATTGTATTTGATAGAGTTGGAAAGAAAGATCCAGTTACGAAAGGGTTGGAGATTGCTGTTCACTGGATTGGTTTAGAAATGGATGTGGCATTTTGGTCTCAACATGTATCTTTCTTTCTTGTTGGCATCATTGTAGTCACTTCTATTCGAGGTCTACTTTTAACACTCACTAAAGTAAGTATTTATTAAAAAATGATAATCAATTGACAATTATTTTAACAATTGGTTTGTTATTCATTTGGGGTATTTCTCCACCAGTTTTTCTATGCCATTTCAAGTAGCAAGTCTTCTACCATCATTGTGTTGATCCTGGCCCAGATCATGGTGTGTAAATGATCTTGATTTTCCATCTGATTCTTTTAAACTTCTTTCTAAGTTACTTTCTTCTTTCTGTTCTAGGGAATGCATTTTGTGTCTTCAGTACTACTTATAAGGATGAACATGCCCCCTGAGTACCGTGTAATTATTACAGAAGTTCTTGGGGATCTGCAATTTAACTTCTATCATAGATGGTTCGATGTAATTTTCCTTGTCAGTGCATTGTCTTCGATTGTGTTCTTATATCTTGCTCATAAACAGGCTCCTTCAGAAAACAGTTGATAATAGAAGGATTGAGTGTGACTACCTGTACTAATTGTGTTTAACAGTGCATTTTTTAAAATGTTCCTTTCATAACAATCATTATTTTTTAAAAGAAAAGATAGTAGTGTATGTGGAATTTTGATTTTACTTCAAATCATATTGAAAATACCTAGGGGAGTCAAACAACATTTAAAATGCATTTAATGAGTTAATTTCTTCAGAGTTTATTTTTTGCTTTTCTATTCAGTACCTTTCATACAACTGGAGTTCTTTATTGAGTTTTGTGTTATTTGTTTTGTTTGTGCTGTACTATACTATGAGTAATCATGTTTTTCTGTGATGTGAAAAATGTTTATTTATGCTTTAGACATTTGAATTTTTAGTTCCATTGGTCTCATGTTGTTGATTCTGAATTTTGTTTTATCTATAATAAGTTTTACTGACAAAGACCCCCACCTACCTCATTTTCCAAAACAGTTGTGCTATTGATGATCTATGATCTATAGAACTAGGTCATGAGGCAGGCCATGGCCTACATTACGAAAAGTGTTCTCAAAAATTATTTATGTAACACCTTTCTTTTACACAGAACAGTAAAAATATCAAGACTTTTTAGATTTAAGGATTCACAGCTGTGATTGTTTTGTTACTTTGTTTTCAATAAAAACATAGTTGACCCTAGACTATTCCGTAAAGGTTTTTGCTTTATGCCCTTTTCCCAACTCTGCAATTTCAACCCATGAAAAGCAAATGGTACTTAACATTATCAAATTCGGACTTAATTATTTTGTGATCCACTAACCGGCCGCTATAGAATCGGTTCACAACGTCTCACACGTGATGTCCATTCTGCCCCAATCTCCTCTGCGAAACTGTGCGGAACGGCTGCGGGTTTTCCTGGTTTTCCTCCTCGCCCGAAGCCTGGACATGTCCCTCCTCTCTGCCCTAGAGCCTCCCCCCGGCCCTTGCTACCCCCTGCGGCTCGCGGCGGCCGGGGGGCTGGCATGGTGGCGCTGCGCGCTATTGCGAGCCAACTGCTGAAATTTCAATGACTCTTGAAACAGCGATTAAAAATGCAGATACATGTCATGCTGGGGAGCAGCGGTGCGGCTGCGTCCGGATCTCTGCTCCGCAACTGCCTCCCCCCGCACGCGCGCGCGGTAGTGTAGCTTGACGCCGCGGACGCCACCCGGGCCGGGGGGGCAGGGCCGGCAATGGCAGTGCCTAGGCACGGCGAGTTGCCATGAAGGGCGTCGGGGGCGGGGTGGGGTGGGGGTGATGGAATTGTAAAGTGTCCCGAGAGGGCGGACTTTCGGCCCTACATCCTCCGCTGGGGGAGGGGGGGGGGCAGCTGCCGGCCTGGACCATGATGGCGTTCGGAAAGGCACTCACTTGTAAAGCTAAGCTCATTACAGGCGAGTCGGACTAAGCGCGGCCGGGCCAGGAGGACGCGCCGGGGGCACGGGACCTCTACCCCTCCCGGCCAGGCTGGGAGGGAAGACAAACTTCCCCCCGTTAAGCTGACCGGACGCCAGGGCCAGGCTCGGCCTGCTCGGCCGCCGCGGTGCAGGTCCGGAGCCAAAGGCTGCTGCTCCAGGCCAGGTGAAAGCGGCTGCAACTGCAGCGCTGCCGGCGGCGGGGCGAGCGCGTCCATCACACGTCGAGTTTACCCCCCAACCCCACTCACAGCAGCACGTCGTGTCGAGGGTAGGGGAGGGTGGGGAGGGCCTTCTCCACCTGCCCCAGCTGCCCCACCCAGCCCCAGGCCCGACCTCAGACCTCGCCTCGCCTTTTGATGCGGGCGGGGAAGGGCACGACCCGCTCTCCGCTGCTCCCCCGCCCGGACTGACGCCCCGCGACGAGGACCCCTCCAGGTCCTGCTCTCCCCTCACGGGGCCCCGCGAGCAGCAACTTCGCTCTCCAATTTCCCCCGCTGACTCTCCCGTCTCGTCTTTCCCTCCGCCTATGGCGTCTATCAGTGCGGGCGCGGCGGGTGCGGCGTTACGTGGTTCGCGGGGGTGTGGGTGTGGCCGGGGCGGAGCGGGGCGGGCTGGCGCACCTCTCTCCACCGCGCCTCGCCCCGCACTACCCACGCAAGATGCCGTAATCAGGTTAAAGCACGGAAGGGCAGAGGCACTAATGGATCTCTCACTCGTGGCGGTGGCGTAGCTGGCGTAGCTCAGGCGGGGAGACGTGGCCGTGGGGCCTCGGCCACTCCCTTGTCGGAGGGGCTCCGGAGCTCGCCAGCACGCCGCTGACGCCTCGTGCCCCTCTCTCTCCCCGCTGCCCTCCCCCGCGTGAAAGGCTTTCGCGCGGCAGAAGGAGGTCCGGGGCCGGAGTGGCACGGCGGGCTGGTGTAGTGTGCGGGGGGATGGAGAGGGGGGAGGGGAGGGGGTAACAAAAGCATTA